AAGACCAAGGAATTACCATTGTGTGGTTATACACTGTACCGCACGGAACACCCGAAGTTATTCATAGTCGAGACAAAATGAGGAAATGCTATTCCTCACAAAGCAGAAATCCCTATGAACAACCTCGATTTATTTTTATACATGAACTCTAAATTCGTGTATGTGGAGAAACATCTTCGCCAACAAATGACTTCTTTATATCAAAACGTCATGCAACAAAAATGTCAGTTAGAAAAGCAAGTTCTTACAAACGCCTTGTCTTTCACGACTCTTCAACCAGACGAATTCGCCTTCCGCCTCATGAAAGGTCCCGGCTACATGGCTGTTACCACTGGCAAAGCCGTCTTCGTTATCAAATGCATACCTGTAGACGCAACGGTGAGAAGAACTAAAGAATGCTACAACGAGCTTCCAGTGACGGTGCGTAATGCATCATTCTTCCTCACGCCGAAATCAAGAATACTCACAAAGGTTGGGAACCAACGTGAATGCAGTTCCGAGTTACCTATCTTATATTGCATAGAAGATATTTGGGTTCAGTTTACGCCAGAACCACAAGTAAGGCAGACACCGCCTCAACAATTGCAACCATTAACAACACTCACATGGAAGGTACCTTACACCCGGACCTCTAGCGAGCAGCGGAATTTATTCCGATGAGGATATTGGACGCCTGCGAGAACACATCATGTTCCCTGCAGAAAAACCAGCTTTACTCAACACTGTTGCGAGAGGACTTACAGGCCACTCTTTCAACAAGGATACAGTCTCAGTATATAATCTACTGGACGAGGAATCACTCAACAAAATCGTGAACACCACAGCTTCACGACTCTGGAGCGGATTTGTTACTTTTGGGTCCGCTGGCATATTTGGAATCTTTTTGATCATCCGATTGGTAAAATCATCATCGACACTGCCATCCATGGATACGCCCTCCATACGGCCTATGGATGCAGCCTACACCTTATTTAAGCCATCTGGAGTTCATTAACCCATTTGCTCCTGCATTTGGCCCAAAATCCTGCCAAGAAGAAGGAGGACAGCGAGAAAATCGATCAGCCTTCATCACCTGGGGAAGCACCAGCTCTACCAGCCAGACCTCTTAAGGTTCTTCAATGTCGCATTGTTCTTCAAACGACAAACGTCAATATCGAGCCAACTGCACCAATACACGTAAATACTACTCCTACACGATACACTTACAACGAGCTATCTAATCGTTTGGATAAGGTTGAACTAATTCCTTGATTTCCACGGAATTTGTTCTATCTAAGGGGGGGGGGGTGACGTCCCGTCTAAATTTTTATTCTTATTATCCAACCGATTCGATTTGACTCAATAAAACACATAAATACGTATATATCTCTCCTCGTTATTCTTTTGTATTTATCCTATATATATTCTATATATATTGCTTATGCGTATTTGCAAGCAATACCGTGGAATTAGTTACTAAACTTATTATTTGCCAACCTGAAATTACGATTAACAACGCTTATTCTCTTAGTAAAATTTATAAGTAGATTTACCGACTTTAGTTCTACATCAATTAGAGTCGATGAATTACCATCAACGAGTTACCAATGGTGGTTGCCTAAACACTTACCGACTTTAGTTCACATGTCAACTAGGGCCGATAAAGGTTACCATCAGAGATTACCGACGGTAGTGGAATACCGACTCTCGGAAAATTACCATTAGATAATTACCATTCGATAATTTCAATCTCACGCTTGTTAAATTAAACGACAATTTCTATTCCACGCTGTAGCTTGTTAAATAAATCCGAGGCAGGCGCAGGTTATAATAATCATATTGCAAATAATGGTAAACCATATTAGACAACACGCATAACCGATACCACAAGTCTTAGCTTATTATCCGTTTAGAACATTCTATTGTCTTAAGTATCTGAACAACCAAATAAATTTAACTAAAAGAAATTACATAAAACCATTAAGAACATTATAAAGAATGGTTAAGTAAAGTTATTAATTTTAAATTCGTTCAAAAAATTCTATTGTCTCAAATATCTGCACAACCGGATGGAATTTGGAAAATGAAATTTACACAGAACCATTTAGGACACCATAAGGAATGGCTCTATAAAGTTAATAATCTTAAAGAATGTATCGTTGTGCACAAAACTTAAACAATATAAATTCGCTTCACACGTTATATTATTTCGCTTATTAAATAAGTCAACGTAGCACCTCGTAATGCTTGAGGAATGCAACGATCGATATTCATATCTCGAGGAGTCTGCACCTGCATAAGACGACGCAATGCTTAAAAAATGCGGCGATCGATAATCGTGATGTCACCCTATGCAAGTCCGAGCCTGCGAGAGACAATGCATCTCCACAGTATGCTTCCGTTTATTATACGTAACCTATTGTTCTTAATTAGTGCACAACCGTTAACAATATTAAAAATCTGACTAGTGCAAACAATGCGCGACAGTGTCACGAGAAGCAGCATATAAAAGAGAACCTTAGAAACCTTAGAAAGAAGTTAGAAACCTATTATTTGTGCAGATAACGCAAACTTTATCCTTAAGTTATCGGTAATTGTTATAAATCATTATAAAATTAATACATATAAGAGCACGCAATCCGTACCGTTAATATTAAGTAAAAATCCATAGCAGATTATTATTTCAATCTAATATACTTATTTGTAATGCGCGATGACGTGAGTCACGCATTGCATCACAGATCGGAAGAGCACACGT